ACAGATTTATTATCATTTTCCGCTGAAATGTAGCTGGTATTGTTTGATTTGAATGAGAAAAATACAGATGTTTCATATTTCATGTGCACTAAAATGCCATTTGATAACAAATTTTCTTTCCAAAACGCAATACATTAACCAACATGTATGAAGGCATTGGCATTATGTTAATTACTAATTTTATATTTGTGCGTTAAAAATTACAGGCTATAGGACAATTCAGTTAAACACAACCAACAAAAATGTGCATAAAAAAACTGATAAATCTATCTCTGTTATTATATAAGATGAATTTAAAGTAGGCAAAATGTGAGAGGATTTTACATGTAACGGTCCACTTCTTCTGCTTAACATTGTTTATATATCGCACAAGTAGAAAAATACTTAGATATACCACTTCAGGCACTTCAGATGCTTAGTTAATCTTATCCTATACTTAGCCTCACAAACAGGGGGAACAAAATGTATAGTTCTCATCGCCCGCGTGGCGCAGTCATTAGAGGGTTTGCTTTAGAGTCGCGGAGTAAATAGTTGAAATTTGCGTCGCTAGTTAGAACCACACTGAGAAAAGTGGAGCCTGGTTCTTAGGGTGATACCGAATAAACTGAGGTTTTGTGTCGGAATAGATGCTGACACAAAAGGATCCCTCACTGCTCAAAATTTTATGTCCCGAGTACACATCCAAATCCGTGGCCCCTGAGCGGAAAGTGGAAGCGTCTCAATATGTCAGAGTGAAAAATTCTCGAAAGGACATTCAAAACACAAAACAAAATTGAAGTTCTCACTAGAACTTTAAAATACACAAGCCATTACCTCATTTTTTAAAATTATTTATCATCAAAGCTAAAGTCAAAGAGCTGACTCTTAAAAATATTCTTTACAGTATAGCTTTAAAGGTACTTGGACACGGATTTGAAGTTAATATTTTCTGTATATTTCTGTATAATATCACGAATTATATATTTTAATAGCATTTTACACAAAAATTAATTAAAAATCTTATTTTATTTAAAAGTTATTAAAACTTTAAATTTTTTGGTGGGTTTGATTGACACATCCTTGCACTTTCACAAATCTTAACTTTATTCTTAATCCTTAGGAAAAGTGGCAATCCTGATGTGTATTAATGAGAAATATTAAAACCTAAATTAATTCTATTCAGAGTTGAAATGTTAGAAAGCAGAACTACTTCACAAGTTTTCCGTTGTGTACAGAGTTTTGCGAATCGATCACACACGTGTTATGTACACAGGTTTTTGTAAACATGTTATTGTTTGATGTTTACGATTCATCGGGTGCGTTAAATCGCCAAAGTCTGTTCACCCCATCTGCACGGACTGACAATATATTGTGTGTTTGTTTTGCTTTAAACATGTTTAATTTTCTGGATTATAGTATTAATATTTTTCATTAATACACATCGGGATTGCCACTTTTCCTAAGGATTAAGAATAAAGTTAAGATTTGTGAAAGTGCAAGGATGTGTCAATCAAACCCGCCAAAAAATTTAAAGTTTTTATAACTTTCAAATGAAATAAGATTTTTAATTAATTTTTGTGTAAATTGCTATTAAAATATATAAGTCGTAATATTATAGAGAAAATATTAATTTCAAATCTGTGTCCAAGTACCTTTAAAGACAAAAACAAATAAATCAGCAAAATAAAAAATCACATCATTCTCAAACACTCGCAATATTGAAGTACAATATATGCCCCTTTATTAATATTTTAGGATTATTTCAAGAGACATTGTTATTATGCCTCCACCTCACACCCTTTGCAGGGTAAGAAAATGTCTGGAGAAACAAAAGGTTACTAAATGCAACATGATATTTAGAGTGGGTTGCGAGCTTCTTCTCTCAATTTCTAAGAAATGCAAGTGGCAAATTGGACCCTTTTCCTTTTTAAAGAATAGGGATGAGTCCTCCTTTCTGACTTGTCAGTCACCAAATACTGACCTGAACTGAGCAATTGAAAAAATGTTTGTGAAGACATAAGTCTTAATCAAAGATAATGTTCAGCGCTGAACTCGATAAAAGTTGTACATGTAGATAAGTAAATCATGAATCATTTGAGAAAAACTTCCTACTACTGTACAAGTGCATCCCTTGCTGCATCATTTGGGGGGAATGTAATTGCTCAAAAAACTAACTTTAACCTGATTACTAATCCGAAAATGAAGGTCAGATTCAGTAAAAGGAGTCAATCTGCAAGTGTGCATCCATAATCCATATGCAAGTTTAATCATCATAAGGCATATATTACATAGAAAATTATCTAAAACAGGAACTTAAACTTCATCAATTATCCTGGAATTGAAGGTCAGATTCAATATTGAGGCATATTATAATTTGCAGCTAAGTGAAAAATTTCACGTTACGTCACGATCTAGTAGACAGCTGCGCTCAAGGTAAATTGCACACTGCTTTCAGACTTGCTTCGGATGCTGGATTTAGGGACATTTTCCAGATAATGGTGAAATTTCATTCCCAAGTTAGTATTCACCCCTTTGGTATCCAAATATGCAAGATATACATCTAGGGATGAACAACTAAAAAACATACTTCAGATGCTGGATATAACTTACAATTTTGACCACTTTAATTTATTCTAAAAATAACTATGATCCTCACGGTGATACATGTATATCGGGTATCCCTGATGCATCTGTGATTGCACACTACCATACACTAGTATGCTTCAGAAGCTGGATCTGACCTACACATTCTGAATAACTAGTGAATGAGATTTAAGCTTTTGGAGCACCACGTTTCGCTACCAAAGGGATAATTGTAATTCAAAATAAACTTGCTTTTTATACTTTAATCAGAATACCAGCGCCTACGCAAATGTTGAGGTATAGAATAAGCCTAGCTGCATAACTGTAGCTAACCAAAAATATATATAGATAGGCCGGAGATTAACAGTGCCATTCACTGAAAAAATGTATATTTATTGCGCATAAAAAGTTGCGCTTAGTTCTGGATTACTACTTCCAACGTGATCGAGGCCCGGGTTCGATTCTCAATCTCGGGCCGCGTCATACCTAAGACGTAAAGATAGGTAGTGATTGTTCCTTCGCCAAGCGTTCTGCACTGGAAGTAAAAGTCACGGGTCTTTCGGATATAACCTTGAAAACGTATTTACCGTGTCACGGTAATCGTTGGTATGATAAAGAAGCCTCACTGCTCAATGGCCCTGAGTGCCGAGTATAGGTTTAAATTTGAAGCCCTTCAACGGCATACGATGACGTCTCCATATGAGTGAAAAATTTTCGAGAGGGACGTTAAACAGCATACAATCAATCAATCAATTCTTCCAAATCCCTACCTTAATTGCAAAAAATTCTTGATTTAAAAAAAATCCTACTACTCTATCACGTACTCTCGTAGTATATAAATATACTCTGGCAGTATATAAATTAGGCGATTTTTGATGTTCTCATTTCAGGGCAAAGAGGTTACTAACACTAATTATAAGGAATTATTTGTTGTCGGAACAGTGATAAAATATATTAGGAACACATGGTTAGTAACATTTTGGTAGAACATTCTCAAAAACATGGAGAAATAAATCGAAAACAGTGAACCAACTTTTTGGTGCGCATTAAATATTATAGTTTTTTCAGTGGGCGGCACTGTAGCATACCTGTCAATATATTTTTCTGAAAGCTATAGTTCGATCTGCTGCTAAGAATAAGCCCATCTAGACTTAATGGACTTAAGATAAGAGAACTTGACGATTAAGCTGGCATATGAACCAGATGAGAAAATTTGTTTACTCACGTGATCCACAAATGACTGCAAAACGAGGCTGACGGCCACAGCTTCCTTCAGGAATATTGCGGTCATAATAATAAGGACATTTATGTAGAGCTGTTTCGTTTCCAAGACAATGATAATTCAAATGCTGTATTGATTTGGATTCCTCAGAAAGGTCTTTGATGGATCGAAATTCTGCTACACACCGAGTTCTGAATGAATAACAAACACAGTATTGGGAGTATGCTCATCTCAGTATTTTCATAACACACAGGAATATAATTTCAACAAGGGATTTATCATTTCGACGTTACTGTTTGTCTGTCTGAATTTTCTTAAATAAAATAAAATTTATGGTTTTCTTCATTTAATTGTTATCACACAAGGAATAAACAAGCTATTTCAAGCTTTTGTAAGGGTTCATTCCAAGATAGAGTCAGCATTTTCAACTTCAAAGCAAAAGCTCAAAGAGGATTAAAGTTATCACTGAGAATCTCACTTTTTCAAATATATGAATTTCTGACCTTTATCTTTGACACCGTGCTACCACGGGTTTTGTTTAAGTCATATATAGGGAGTTGTTATTATTTAAATTATGTCTTCTCTAAATCTCAAACAGAAAAAATTCAGAACTACATGTACATGTAATCTAAAATTATGTTATTCCATTTTCTTACCTTCACCACGAAAAAATAGGAATCATTTTAATAAAATAAACTTTTCTTTTATAAGAAAAAAAAATCATCAAATATGATAAGATACATGCATTTATCGTTTTAAGTGAAAAGATAAGATTTTGCTAAAGATTGATGGACAAAAGAAACTCACGATGGCTGTCCCAGTTGTCTGCAAACAACTCGGGCATTGGCCGGATACCAGTGTGGACCACACATTGTATGCCATTTCTGGTTGTAATGGGCTTCCACAGTATAACTTCCATCCTCGGACTCAAAGTTAGTGAGACGAACCAGATCGAAACCTTAAAAAATTAAACATTGTGCTTCATTTAAAAAACATGGCGATTTTCTTTTACTTGTTTTAAATATCTTACATGTACAATATATATAATGAATTGCATTTCAAAACTTTGATGATCCAAAAATTAAACTGCAACATTATTTTTTTTTCCAAATAAAACATAAACACCCATGCCCCACAAAATGTATTCATGCTTCATGATATGAAACATTCAATTTTTAATGAACCTGCAAGGAGAAATTAAAATAACAAGAGGCCCATGGGCCACATCGCTCACCTGAGAAGCTTTGACCATTCCGTTCTTTACCAGATTTCCCGCTTGTAATACATATTGTGAACCAAACCTACCCCACTGATCATAATTTAGACAACTTGAATTCTACACTACCACATGATGCTTCAACATAAGTTTCAGCTTTTCTGACCCAGTGGTTCTTGAGGAGAAGATTTTCAAAGATATTCCCATATATTTCCATGTAAAACTTTGATTCCCCATTGTGGCCCCGCCCTATCCCCGGGGGTCATGATTTGAACAATTTAGAATCTACACTACCACAGGATGCTTCCACATAAGTTTAAGCTTTTCTGGCCCAGTGGTTCTTGAGAAGAAGATTTTCAAAGATTTTTATAATATATTTCTATATGAAACTTTGATTCCCCCTTGTGGCCCTGCCCAACCTCCGGGGGTCATGATTTGAACAATTTAGAATATACACTACCCCAGGATGCTTCCACATAAGTTTCAGCTTTTCTGGCCCAGTGGGTCTTGAGAAGAAGATTTTCAACGATTTTTCCTATATATTTCTATGTTAAACTTTGATTCCCCATTGTGGCCCCGCCAAACCGCCGGGGGTCATAATTTGAACAATTTAGAATTTACACTACTTGAGGATGCTTCCACATAAGTTTCAGCTTTTCTGACCCAGTGGTTCTTGAGAAGAAGATTTTCAAAGATTTTTCCTATATATTTCTATGTAAAACTTTGATTCCCCATTGTGGCCCCGCCCTACCCCTGGGGGTCATGATTTGAATAATTTAGGGTCATGATTTCAGCTTTTCTGGCCCAGTGAATAAAGATTTGGAATTTCTATGTAAAACAGTTGTGGCCCCCTACCCCCGGAGGATGCCAATCCATATAAATTTCAGCTTTTCTGGCCCAGTGATTCTTGAGAAGAAGATTTTCAAAGATTTTTGCCTGTATATTTCTATGTAAACTTTGATTCCCCATTGTGGCCCCGCCCTACCCCCGGGGGTCATGATTTGAACAATTTAAAATATACACTAGCCCAGAATGCTTCCATATAAGTTTCAGCTTTTCTGGCCCAGTGGTTCTTGAGAAGAAGATTTTTAAAGATTTTTCCTGTATATTTCTATGTAAAACTTTGATTCCCCATTGTGGCCCCGCCCAATCCCCGGGGGTCATGATTTGAACAATTTAGAATATACACTACCCCAGATTGCTTCCATATAAGTTTCAGCTTTTCCGGCCCAGTGGTTCTTGAGAAGGAAATTTTTAAACATTTTTCCAATATATTTCTATGTAAAACTTTGATTCCCAATTGTGGACCCGCCCAACCTCTGGGGGTCACGGTTTGAACAATTTAGAATCTAAATACACTAATCTTTTCTTGATTATCTCCCCTTGTGAGGGGACTTGGCCCCTCATTTTAACAACTTAAATTCCCCTTCACCCAAGGATGCTTTGTACAAAGTTTGGTCAAAATTGACCCAGTGGTTCTTGAGAAGAAGTCGAGAATGTAAAAAGTTTACAGACGGACAGACAGACGGACGACGGACAAAATGTGATCAGAAAAGCTCACTTGAGCCTTCGGCTCAGGTGAGCTAAAAAATTGTAAAATTTTCTATTGATGCATTAATCATAAATCTTTAGTAACAGTATCATTGTCCGGTTGTCTTTCTGTGTCCTTTTTTTGTTCTGACTATGAAGAAATGATGCAATTCTTTTGTTCTGTACAATTAGGGACCAAGCAATATTTATCACTAAGATGGGACCGGTGCAAAGTATGATGGGACAGATTTTGGGACCATTCAATAGAGTGGAACAAACATTCTTTTTACTTACAAATGAAAGAACACTTTTTTATCATAATGATAAATGAATGATAACCCTGAAATAAACCCTCAAATCATAGGTTCCTCTTCTTCTCAACAAATTGTAAAACAACATTCAATCAATCAATCTTCTCAACAATAAAACCATGGCCTAAACTACAAAACTGTCTTCTGTCTACTTTCACGTTAAACTTTCAAAATTAATTTGAAATCAATATCCTAATTTTAGATTTAGTAAATATAAGTTCTAACAAGAAAGGCGATACCAAATTTGTCATATTTCATTAAAAAGAAATAATATTTAATTAAAAGAACACACTTATATTAACTGTATGACCTTAACATGGAGATGGGTGCTTAAATGTCTATGAGAATTCAAGTCCTCTTCAATATCAAAAACTCATTTCGTTTCAGTTGTATTAAGAAGTGTTGAATATTTCCTATTGTACTCGTAAACAAATATACTAGTATTTTAAATTGGATTAGATTTTAAAAGTCTGCGCCATTAAAGAGGTATTCCTCATATTCCACCAACTTTAAAAAAAAGAAATATAGTTCACACATGCATGTAGTCGTCAATGGATCTGCATAAAATATATTCATCATATTTTGACTCTTGAAAATGTTTTGCTTTCTTTTATCTACATTTAAGTAGGAAATATAATGAGATCTTTTTTTGGCAAAACCCTTAATTTGGAATTTGGAAAGTAGATTATTACTACTGCCGCAGTGTAACAAGAAGACGATCAGTAAGTGAACCACTTAAAAAACAACAGGCCTCTCTTCATTATCTATATCAACACATGCTTAATTGGTTCTGGTAGTAGCTAGCGTACTAAGGTCGTGTACCATTTTTAGCACCATCGTAATCGTTCTTAAGTTTTTTTAAGTTTGTTTTCTTTACATTTGTCATGTTTACATGTAAAATTCCTGCCCCTCATCATGACTCAGCCCGGTTCTTATTTAATTAAATACGAGGGACGTTCAATAAATAATGTCATCAGCTCGATGACATACAACATAGAAGTTATATGTCATTAAGCTTGACTTTCTCTAATTATTAAATCTTTAATGAATTGCATGATTACAGTTTATGTGACCACTTTTCATCACATACTAGTAGTTCCATTGTGAGAAGCTGGAAAATAAGGGCTATTCGAGACACTACATTTAAAATGAATAGTAAAGAATTGGTAAACTAGAGTGAAATTAAACGCTTCATTAAAGCTTCTGTAAAACTGGTTAAGAATCCCAAATATATATTAACTGAAATATGTGAAATTTACAGCAACCAATGTCTGTTTTATACACACATGAGCAGGTGGATTTCAATGAACAAAAATGATATAATGGGCATAAAAATGGTTACTGTCCTTGGCGACAAGGACATACAACATCCAATGTATATTTGCAAAAATTCAACAAATTATCACTGATTATGTTTTAAAGAAACGTTTGATATTAAAAAAGTTTAATACTCAAAGGCCGTCCAATACTTTGAAAAATGAATGAAAACGACAGCGTGTAGGAATATCTAAATAATTATCTTAAAAAATAAAAAAAAAAATGTACTTATTCATGTTTGTCTGAAATTCAAACAGATCATGAAATTTGAATCCATTTTCCTTTAAACACTCAAAATAAATTTACAATGAGATACACTTGACAAAACATCAAAGGCCTGAAAAGAGCAAAGAATTGCAAGAGCACAAAAACAGTTTTGTATGCTATTTTCTTTAATATTAGTGGTCTTGTTGTTCAAATTCTTATTGGGGGAGTAATTTCAATTTCTGGAAGAGTCTAGAAAACAAATAATTTGCAAAAAGGTGAAAGGTTTATGAAAGGAAGGAGTCGGAATGAGGAATATATTGCATTTTATTTCTTTATGACAGCGTCCAAACCTATGGCCATGAAGAGTAAAGGAGTTCTCTGGTTCTCTGGGTAAAAAGAAAGTTAATGTTTTGTCAAATGAGCTATATTGGCCAGAACTTTCAACTTTTGACTTGTGTCATTTCCCAAACTTGAAAAAAAAAACATTTCAGAAAGAAACAAATGTACAGGAAATCATAGGATCTGCCATATTCCAGTATACGAAGGGTAATACTCAAAACTGTGTTCTAAAAACAATTAAAAATTGAATAAAATATTACGGACGTGTGTTTTAATCAAAAGAGAATATTTTAGTTTAATAATAAAGACTAAATCATTGAAAAGCGTTTTCTTGTTTCTTTGCGAGCACTGATGACATTATTTATTGAACGTCCTCGTATGGTTTGTGCATATTATCGATATCTGCCTAATATTTGTTTGCAAATTATGGCTCTGCTTTTCTCAAAAATGCTTAATTAGTTTTCTGTATTAAACTATAGTTCTATTGTAGTAAGCCCATCCTAGCACTATGTTTTGAGTAAACTATAGTTGGCTTTTCGTGATGATGTTACTGTTATAACTGGACTTATCATGGAACTGTCGTTGTTAAGAAACCTTGAAAGATTGGTTCTCATATGTTCCATGATCCTTTTCTGTGGGCTGGTCCCGCCCCCTGAAAGTCTTGGTAATCTAAGAGTCAAACTGTTGACTACAATAGTCAGGAGTGGAACTTATGTCAAGCAAGGTATCGATATCAACTGGACGAACGATTTGAATTATTACAAGTACATGTAAGAAGAAAAGTCCATCGGAGGAAAATTTCTGAAACATACTGAGGAAAAATGCCCTGCTACACATAAGGAAAAACAAATATGATCAATTTTTGAATGAAATGGAACCTCGAAAGGTTCGGTGACTGGAGTTTTTTTTCATATCCATACTATACCAATCTAATTTTCTCTAAAATATATACTTGAGAGAAAATTTTGATATGTATGTATTAAGCAAATAAGGAATAAATAAAGAGTGCGTAGATGAGAGTTACGTATACACTGACGAAATCGATTTATAATTAAATGATCTTCAAAGGTTTATCAAAGGATGATTTCCAAAATATATTACTGAGTAAAAGAAAATATCTTGTACACTTAAGGAAGTATCATCACGGAATTATTAACTTATTAAAAAAGAAAAAAAAAAAGGAAAGCCATCTCTGCGTAGGATGTTTTTATTTTTATTTATTTATTTTTTTTTTTTTTAATTTTATTAATTTTTTTTTTTTTTTTTTTTTTTTTTTGGAAAAACCTTCACAATCAATTTACATGATTTATAAACCAACTAAATTTTTCCTGATATAGAGTGATTATATAAAAAAATTTATATTTTTAATCCTTCCCTGTTATTATCCATGAAAGATTCACAAATGAAAAACTTGATTTTATTTCATTTATTTTTATTTATTAATTATTTATGTTGCAATAGCAAAGGAGTGGCAATGCAATCCTATACATTAATTGGTTCGTTTGTGATTGTGCCTATACATGTGTACAGAATTTATTTTTTCGCGCATGATGCAATCTATGTACATATTGCATAAGTGTAGATATGTAGACTGCTTTATAAACGAAGGATTTGTAAAAACACTTGCCTGACGAAGATGTTTCCTGAACAAGTCATCAAAAATTATATGGCTGACTATTTACAGTGTAGATATGCTTCTTAACATATAAATGCATGCAAGACTATTCATGAAAAATCCAAATTCCCGGTATTCTACCATCACTGAATGTATTGAACTCTTAAATATATTTTTTTAAATATTATAGTACATGTACAACAATAGTATCTGCTTGACAATGAATCTGCTAAAAGCTGTTAATCATTAATAACTTGCAGCATCCCAAACCTCCGTGCACATCTTTATAAAGAAGATGGGGGGATAAGGCGGGCAGAATGCCTATAGCGCGACAGATAAGAAGTGAAAAATTTAATCTCAATTATATCCAAATTTTATTTGATATTTCATTTAATATTAAAGTATACTTAATGTAAAATCTCTATAATTTACGAAAAACTCACAAAGACTTAAAATATTTGCCTGTGAAAAAGCATACGCAAGCCTAAAAGAACAAAATCAATCATTTTGTTTATAATTTAACAAAATTTTTCAGTATGAGTGGGTCTTTGCTCCATTTTTTTGAAAGATAATCCTAAAAGTTTGCGATAAAAATAAATATTTTTTAGTTTACAACAAAATGGAGCGAAGACCCACTATACCTTAAAAGTACACATTTACTGCATGACAAAACATTTGCATCTTTCCGAGAAATACTTCAAGTCCATTAAGTCAAGGGCCATATCACAAACATGATATAAATGCCCCCAATCATCATGAACCATGTACGTAGTGGTTAGCGCGTTTGTCTCAAAGCAGGATGATACTTCGGTATTTTATTGCTGGGTTCGAATCCCCTCGTATTATGGTATACCATCTAATATTTTTATAAATGAATTTTTTTAAAGAGATTTATATTTTCCCAGAATTTTTTTCTCATAATTTCATAAATTTCAATAATGAGAGGTTAATTTAAATACTCAATTTACATATCAAATGTGATTTCTTAATATCGGACGCTATAGGCATTCTGCCCGCCTTATCCCCACATCTTCTTTAGAATCATTACTTCATAACAGAATAAAATCAATTACAAATGTCAATTCCTAAGATCCTAGCTGAACGTAAAAGACTTACTTATAACAAAAAACAAACTTTAATTTAATAAAATTGCTTAACCAAAACAAGCCTTAAGAGAGACCATATCGAACAAAAATTGTGCAGAAAAAGTCCACGGACAAACTTTCGACCTCAACTGCATGTTGAGGACCGCGGACACTACATGTACTCTAGCTTTAAGTGTAAAGACCATTTGATTATACATTAAATGATTATGAGGACTGGGGTCTGAGGTGATGCAAAAACATTCTTTGAAAAGGCTGCTAAATTCAAAGATTTTGGACATATTATATATATTAATACGCGTGCACATGCATATGCACAAAATGTACAGGATTTCACTCTCAAAAATCAATAAGGACTGGACTTATTATTAGTAAGCAAAATTTAAACGAAGAAAATTCTTATTCTGAATATTAATGTTCAGGATATTAATTTTTTTTTTTTTTTTAATCCTTCTTGATTCATTGATTCATTTTTTTTTTTTAGAAATTCTATATAGAGAAGTTAAGTACACCACTGATGAAACAGACGTAAATGAATCCAGTTTCCATTTTAAAGGGGGGGGGGCATGACCTTTTAAAAATAATCCAAATTAAATTTTCTCCACAAATAACTTTTAGAACTTCTCTAAAACCAAACAATTCTTAGAACCGCGAATCTTAAGTAGACAAAACAAACGAACCGTACCAAAACTTCAATGCAACCATGCATAATGCATATAACAGCTTCACGTACCTTATACATGTAATGGTTACTATGTGGCGCATGTGGTTACATGTACCTCTCTCTTATACTGTATACGAGAGAGAGAGAGGAGAGAGAGAGAGAGAGAGAGAGAGAAATAGAGAGAGAGATACATGTAACCACGTGCGCCACATAGTTAACCATTAATGTATAAGTAAAGTTATAATCTGTGATATGCGTGGAAAGATATAAATCATTCGGATTTGTACATATTTGCTTAAATCGCGGCCCCACCCTCCGTCACTAAAGAGAAACAGATCAGTAAAATTCTGGATCCGTTCGTGGAGATCTAGTGATCAGTTTTACTCAAATCTCGCCGACAGATAAAGTTTATTCAGGTTAACTACATGGAGCATGCAGCGCAATGTCATTCAAACATTTAAAATCTGTATAAACAGGTTTGTCTTGTCAGAACAACGAGGGGCTTTTTAAAGTTTACTTTTATATGTAAACAGTGTGGTTCTACTTTCGTTTTCCAAAACAAACAAAAAAAAAGAGAAAAAAATTATATATATATAACGTACTAACCTTGGATTTGGCATATTGTTTGCAGGAACAAAATAGCTCCTGCGTAGATCCAAATCGACATTGCGTAAAGTAAATTTCTCAATCCATTCACGAACTGATGTACACAACAATGTTATCAGGGACCCTTTCAAGAGCTAAAAACTACTGTTTTTAAATTTACGTAAGATTTATATAGATATATTTGGGAATTCCCTTTACACGCTTCCACAGTATTTCAAAATGTGCGAAAAGAAAAGTGCTCTTGACATATTCTACTACTTAATTTGTCCTTTGTTTTGCATAATTTTCAAAATATACACAAGTATATGAATGCTTTCAATTATAATGACCCTTATAGAGGAAGGTTATGTAAATGACACATAATCAAGTAAAGTGGAGTAGTTATGAAGAGTTGTGAAGTGTTTTTGGCTCAGCCGGAATTGACCTTCGAACTGATCATGAACACTGTTGACAATATTTCATGTAGAAGCAATATCTCAAATGGGTTTAAAACTGTTGTACCTTAAAAACACATGCAGTATATATTATTCCCAAGTTTGCTGTTCAAATTTCTTTGATCAAAAAATAGATAAACATATAAATATGTGCTTCCGTTATATATAACTTGTGTTTCCGTAATATTTATAATAGTCGTATATTTGTAATTTACTGCAACCAAGAAAATATTCTGGTGGTTATTGCAGCCCGGAGGACCGGGCTGCTCTATACATATAAGTTTAAGTGTTGGTGTATGGGGATTGGGGTGGGTGAAGTTATTCAAAATAGAGGTTTTCTAAACATTGAAAAGATTGTTAATCAGAATGTTCTTTCCCTTTCTAAATTACTAGATACATAATATATTTACTCCCATAAAGTGAAAATATAAAAATGAATATGTTTTACATATTCAGTATATAAAGTTGTTTATCATTTACTATCGAAAAAACGACAGATCCTTTTTTTTTTTAGAACATCGAATTTTACTTCTCGCATAAAAACGTACTCTGCATAGTTCAATTTTCTATATTCTAAAATTGAAAATTAATACATTTTTGAATACATGTGATACAAGTGTCTAACTTCAATTTATATTTTATGCAGCCAACATTTACATGAGGAATTGATCAGGTTTAAAATGGTATCGTTTTTGTTTGAATTTTATCCGACATTAAGTTTTCACGACTATCGTCGCCATCAATTAGACGCATGCCTTTTCACATATATCAAAGCGGTTTGATGATCATTTCCATTGTTTACTTTATATATTTCCCGGGCGACAATTGATGGTTACATCAATGTTTACTTGTTTCATTTTTTATAATGATGGGGACTTGGAGTCTTTCAAAGAAACACTGTTCCATTTAGCACCAGAGTGTAAATTTGTTTGTTTACCTGTGCATGGAATGCAGACGATTTGCGCATTCGCCGCATTAAAATTAACCTTTTATCAATTAAAAATCTGTTTATATCACAATTATGTTAATTAATTTTTATGAATTTACAATAAAATATCAATTTTCTATTTTACCGCTTTTAAAACACTAAAATCACCGAGTAAAAAATGGCGTTGGGAGGACCGTGGAACAGCAAGCTTATAGCCATAAAACCGACATTCATCAGCTTCTTTATGAAATCTACACGTGTTTAGACTGCGAAAGGCGACACATCGATGTGGTCTAATAAGTATTTCAATCTAAGTCAAATATATATTTCAACTGCACAGGTCGATACGTGTTTCTAACCTGATATTTTTTTTATGAAGTTCGTGATTTATTGGAGAATAATATCCGCGGCATTTCTTTGATCTCGGCAATAACTGTAGTAGAATAATTATTAACTATACTTAGACGTCTACTAAAAATAAAGTAAAGGAAAATATCAAGAAAACCATTTTCTTTCGTCCAAAAACAAACTGAGGACCAATTAATCGTATACAATGTATGAAAGATCTAGTATTTAAAGATCATACAGTGCTCTTCAAAGCATACTGCACAAGCGCGGATCTAGAGGGGGGTCGACCCCCCCCCCCTTCCCTACCCCTTGGAATATACAAGGTTAAAAATGTATATACTAAAACAAGAAAAAAGACACCATGGACCCCCCTTGGAAAACGCTGAAAAGTGAAAGATTTGAGGCAATAGAAGTCATTAACACTAACTCCCCGCCCCCACGAAATAGGTTTTTGACTTTTCAGCGAGTTTTTTTTTTTGTATTTTTTTTTTTTTTGGTTTGTATTTGTTTGTTTTTTGTTTGTTTGTTTTTGTTTGATTTTTTTTTTTTTTTTTTTTTTTTTGCTTGTAAATATATTTCTGTGATTGGATTTTTTTTTTGACTGGGGTGCCCGCCCCAGGGGAAAAATTCTGGATTCGCGCCTGCTGCACCTACATATGTATTATATAAGTAATTTGTGTGATATCTTAGTACCTCAAATAAACCCCATGAACCTTCAAAAATGGCAAAATATATAGGAATGGTCAAAATGCCTCCCTTCTGAACTATATTGTAAATATTCGCATTCCGATCTTGCAAGCATTCGTTTGATACGCTGTAAATAATCTATAATCTACTTTTCCTTTTAAGCATGCCGAGAAAACATAAACTTTAAATTGCATGTATGTATAATCAGGACTGTACTTTATACAGAAGCTTATAAGTGCCACGTAATATTTTTAATAGTTGGTAATTCCAAAGTCAATCTTGACTTTTCCGACTTTATATTCAAATTCAGCTGTTTTTCTTCCCTTTTTTTGGTGTATTTCTTTTTTAATATCATTATTGCTTTATTTAATGAATTAAACTGGCAAGTAGTTAAACTGAGTAGATCCTATTTTTATCATTAACTTTTATCAATTTTCCTATATGAACACAGTCAGATATTTTCATTCAGTGAGCCAAACATGGCCACTGTATTAATTCGTTTCCTTTCTCCGTAAATGAAGGAGTGGAGCTGAATCAGAGTCCCTCGTGACTCAAAAAGAAAAAAAAATGAAGTAGCCTGAAGTCATCCACTTTGAAATTGCAACGATAAAGTAGGCTAAGAGTCTTAGTAAGGCGTGCAAATAAAGATCAAAAGAAAGACAATGAGTAAACACATACACCAGTGGCGACACATGTATTATCAATACCGTACAATTAATGTATATATAAATGACAGAAAATAGAAGAAAAGCTTTTTTAAAGAACAGTGAACATTATCCTCCATGAACCAGAGGTCTTATTAAAAGAATTTACAGAGGTAGAATTTGGATTTTTTTCATTTTTACTTTTTTTCTTTCTTTCTTTCTTTTTTTTTTTTTTTTTTTTGCATAATTACAATACACTGTATTAAAATACATGTATGTGATAAATATAAAATTTCCTTTTCTAAGTATTCCAAATAAAATCCAATATTGAAAGATATTTGTAGCATTGGAAAATTGGTATGAACTTTTCGACGAGGGGGCGATTGCACTTATTACACTGATAAAGGCAAAGTTTAACTCCTACATTGTATGGTATTGAGGAAGCAATGATGTTCACCAGAAATCTGTGACTTTCTATTTTTGTAGGGAATACGAACTTCCATCATTGAAGGACCAAACGACAGATGTGATCCCCTATTTGCTATTTTTGACCACCATACAGATATAGAAAATACAAAAATACTCATGCTTAAAATACATGGGATTTTGTTTTAATGGAATATTGACGTTAATATCTTAAAATAACACTTAACAGAAATATCAACTTGAAGCAAGTTATTATAGGAATTGTCAGTGCATACGAAATAATGAATGACATATATATGAAGATAATGAACCGAATTCAAGCTCAAATTTCTTTTAAACAATGTAAATTTAGACAACAAAGTTTTATTCATAAATTCCAAAACCAGATTTAAATATTCAGCAATGGTATTACAAAATTTAGGACAAAAGGGCAAAAACATTTTCATGAAGTTGGTTTATTTGTTGCTGTTTTTCACAATCTATTTATTTTCCTGACCTTTATTTGTCGTTTTTATTATAATTATCAAACTATTAAAATTAGTTAACAGGAACTGTAAGAAAACGTTCGAGAACATGTTCAAAACCATAAAAGAATCTTAGAGAAATAAATGTCACAGAACAAAAAATAAAAGAAAAGCTTTTTTTGTAATTTGAAAATGCACGCAATGAACCAGAGGTCTCACTAAAAGAATTTACAGAGGTAGATCTAGAATTTGATTTTTTTTCATGTATTGGGTTTTTTGTATAAATAATAATACATGGAGATAACGAACAGTATTCAAGAAAAGTCCATAAAACAATACAAAACAATAACCCCTTCACTGTATCGTATTGAGGAAGCAATGATGTCCACCAGAAACGCCAGTCTTTAAAAATCTATGATTTTCTATTTTTGTAGGGAACACAGACATAAATTCCATAATTAAAGGAACAAACGACAGATTTGGCCTCCTGTTTTCTTTTTTTTTACCACCATCTAACAGTCAGTAACAGCAGCGTTAAGGTATTTATTTTGTTGAAAAACCGATATTTTTCAAATTAATGGAAAATATATTTGCATATATAGAAAATGCAAAAATACCCATGCTTAAAATACATGGGATTTTGTTTTAACAGAATATTGACGGTGATATCTTCAATTATCACTTTACAGAAATATTAACTTGAAGCAAGTTATTATAGGAATTGTCAGTACATACGAAATAATGAATGAAGTAGTTAGAGATAACGAACAGTTTTCAAGCTCAAAAGTCCTTTAAACAATATAAATTTATACAGCTACATGTAATTCTTATGCATTCCCGAATCCAGATTTTAAAAATTAAGCAATGATAGGTCAAAATTTCTAATAACCTCTTTTCAAACTGTCATACTATATACCTTACGACCATTTTTCTGTTCCTCCTGATTCAGGAGAGGGCAAAAACATTTTCATGAACTTGGTTCATTTGTTGTTGTTTTTCACATTCTATTTACTTTCCTGACACTTCTTATACGTTTTTTTTTTTATCAAAATTATCATATTATTAAAATAAGTTAACAAGAACTCCGAGAAAACGTTCGATTACATGTAAAAAAAAAACCCACAAAACACAAAAATGACCCCTCGAAATAAATGTCAATGGACAGAAAATAAAAGAATTCTAGTAGCTATTAAGAAATGTTTTCAAACCTATGCAACACTTGATTTCTTAAGTAGAAAACCTTGCATAATTTCCCTTATGATTAGATGTACAAAATATAGCCGTATGATTTCAGTTTTATATTGTAAATCCTATCAAATATCAAAATGAGTAATAAACATTGAATTCAGTGTAAATGAGATACCTTTACAATAGAAGCGTCAGGTTCCTCTGAGTAGCTGTCTGGAGTG